GCCTTCAACTTTACCCATGTAACGAACTGTGCATAGATCCCCATTGTAGGATCGCCGTTGATTCAAATAGCATCCGACGCCCATCATTGAAACTATTAGTCATGCACCCCCGGACTTAAGTTCAAGAAGCTCTGGTGGTTGTGTTGATAGCTTCCCAAGCCCAATGAGAAGCCCGCGGCGGTGCTTACATAACTCAAATATATCGCGATCTCCGAATTTCCAGTCGAAGCTTATCGTTGCGCATCACCCGTTTTTGTCCACACCCTCAGTCCTCTGATTCTTAGTGGACGTGATTCAAGATGGATTACCAGGTGAGAATAAGTAGCATGTATATCCACTTTCTTTGGCATGGTCTGACCTCTCTTTTAGAACCGCGCAGGATCGAAGTTCGGTGGCGGTGGTGTTGCATCGCACTCCGCAACGAACGCAGACCGTCGCGAGCGTCTTCGCAAGCTCGCCCTCGAGACAATCGACCTCGACAAGGACCCCTACTTCTTCAAGAACCATGTCGGAAGCTTCGAATGCCGTCTCTGCTTGACCGTCCACCAGAACGATGGCTCATATCTGGCCCATACCCAGGGCCGCAAGCACCAGACAAACCTGGCCAGACGTGCCGCGCGGGAGCAGCGCGAGGGCAAAAATCAAGATCCGGCGATGTTGCCCGGCGCGATGGGTGTGCAGGTTAAGAAACAGGCTATCAAGATCGGACGACCCGGTTACAAGATTACCAAGATCAGAGATCCCTTGACGAGACAGCTCGGTTTGCTGTTCCAGTTACAGTATCAGGAGATTGCGCCTGGGGTCAAGCCCCGAGTACGGTTTATGTCTGCCTTCGAGCAGAAGGTAGAGGAGCCGCCCGACAAGAACTTTCAGTATCTCGTTGTCGCTGCCGAGCCATATCAGACGTGTGGTTTCAAATTGCAGGCCAGGGAGATCGACCGCAGAGAGGGTCGCTATTGGACCTGGTTTGATGAGGACAGCAAGGAGTTTTGGATTCAGATCATGTTCAAAACCGAGCGAGAAGAGAGATTTAGTGGTGTTCCGGGTCTGGCACCAATGGGACCCAAAACTTAATGAAGGGGGCGTTGAAGGAGTGCGGGTGCTTTTCTGAGCAAATCTAACGGCATGTACTATTCGACTGGGGCTTTCTTTTGGGCGTTATTGTTGGATTTTCCTCGCATTGTGAATCGATTAGTTTTCGGAATGGGGACATTTTCCCGCGAATACACTTTTAGAAAACCATTCTCTTTCATTGGGCTACTTTCTACGTGGCATAGCTTATCTACTTTCTGTTTACAAGATTGTGCTATTTCACAGATGCATTTTCATCGTGGATACATTGAGGCGCGGTGAGCGCCATATGTACGGCCTAGCTAAAAGACAAAACAGCCAGTCAAACCATGGTCTGTACGCTTCAGAGTATGAAAGAAATTTGACGACCAACAAACAATGCACTCGTATGTAGTTCTCTGCTGCTAGATACACTCTATACCCAGCAGTTGTCGTCTTGCGACAGAAAATGCATATGAAACCGAATATGCTCAGGTCATTATCACAAGGGGAAATCAAATGCGCTATATGCTCATGATGAAGACCAATGGAACGAGTAAACCGTCTAAAATTGAACATCCACCGCTGCCAGGGTTTTCCGCGCAAGCCAGCCCGCTTTGAGAATCCCCGGTTCGGTTCATGCACAATTCACCCACTTGGAAGGCCAGCTTTAGGTTTAGTTCGCCTGGAAGGCATTGAACGCTTTGTATGTGTATCCAATGAATGGGAGACTCATCTCAGCCTCCTGCTCCTCTGGCATGGCACGGGCCTGAGCACGGTGGATAGCGCTGGTATCTTCCTGCGGAATCTCGTCGATGGGAAAGTACGAAACGTCGATGTTCGAGCTGAGCTTCGGCTCGAAGGGAGCGCGGATATTACGAAGTTGTTCCCACACCACTCCACGGAAGAATGGGTGGTTCTTGATTTGTGTAGCACCACCGAACTGGCCGCCTTCATTGCCGATACGGTGTTCCGCGTCGCATAGGAAGCTGCAAAGTATGATCAGCTTTCAAAGTCACAAAGCTGAAAACGGGAACTGGAACATACCTCCGTATCAACGATTCCGAATCGCGGGACAGCGTAAGTTCCTCGGGGAAATACAAGCATTCTCTCCAGTTGACGATCTTACGGTAGGTATCCGTGGTATCCTCGGCACAGAACGGGGGCCAACCCACAAGACATTCGAACATGATAGCACCAACAGACCACCAATCACAAAGATAGGTATATCCCTGACCATTGAAGATTTCGGGTGCAATGTAATCAGGTGTGCCGACTGTCGAATAAGCCATGGCCCGGCGGGATTTTCTCCAGGTGTTGATCTGCCCACGGTTCGAGACTGTCAGGTTTATCGCATCGTTGAAGTATCCAGAGTTGCGATTCTTATCCTTCGAAGTTGAGTTCTTCAGAAGATTCTGGTAGTATGAATTGTCGTGTGTTTTCTTGCCTCCAGTTGAGAGACCGAAATCAGTAAGCTTGACGTGACCACCTCGGTCAAGCAGAATGTTGTCAGGTTTGATGTCACTGAACGCGGCCGAGTTAGTATTTGTATAATATCATAGCTGGAGAATGCCCATGGCATAGAAGATGACTAGAAACCATAGTTTGCGTTGATTGTGGGAATAACTCACCGATGGAGGAAGCCAAGCTTGTGGACGGCCTCGATGGCCATTACGATTTCTGCCATATAGAATCGCGTGATATCCTCGGAGAAGATTTCATACTTGATGAGCATGGTCATCAGATCACCTCCAGGTAAGAACTCCATGAGCAGATAGAGATAGGCGCTGTCTTGAAAAGAGGCATGCAGCTTCACGAGCCACGGGTTGTCCTTGGAGTCCGCCAGAATGTCACGCTCAGCACGAACGTGAGCCAGCTGATCCTTCTTGAACATTTCCGTCTTGATCAAAGATTTGAGGGCATAGATTTTGCCATCGGTCTTCCGTTGCACGAGTTTGACTTCACCAAAGGCACCCTTTCCGATAATCTTGATGGTCTGAAAGTTGGCAGGTGTCTCCTTGGTCCGGAGGAATCGTAGGAAAGTTGACTCCTTTCTCGCAGCAATCTCGGCCTCCTGGCGCTTCTTTTCCTTGGGGATACTAGGGTCACGGATCATCTTGTCGAGCTCGGCAGAACTGTTCGAACGGAACGAAAGGCATTAGCAATTTCTCCCTGGCGACGTTAAATGCCTTCATCACTTACCGCATGTTACGATCGCGTGCCCGCTCAATGTTCTCATGGAAGAACACATTCACCAACTCTTTCGCCGCCTTGCCACGCTTATGAACGTTCTCAGAGTAGCGTTCGGGATACCGTTGAAGTTCTTCGTTCTCAGCCGGGGTCCGGGGACTCCGAGGCATAGGAGGGGCCAGATGGCCCGGTTGCTGTTGTCCGGGGGCAGAAGAACCAGCCGTGCGAGGTCTCTGAGCAGGAGAGGCAGCACGACCAAAGAAACCCGTGCGCGTCGAGTTCAGATCCTGGTTAGAGAACTGCTGGATAAGTCCATTTGTCCCATCGTTGGCATTGTAGGCCATCCGTGACTGATAGGTCGGCTGAGGGGACGCCAGATTGTGCTGTTGCTGTTGCTGCGGTTGCTGCTGCTGCTGGCCGTAAGGCGCCTGAGAATACTGGGGAGGATAAGGGTTGGCCATGAAGTATCCTCCTTGGTTGTAAGCCCCATTTTGAGCGTCGACATAATCCTGAGGACCCTGATTTTGGTATATCGGCTGAGGAAAAGCAGAGGGGGTTGTTGGGTATGCGCGGTTGTTGGCCGCTGCTGCGTTGTATCCATTGCGATCGTTGAACCCGAAATTCAGGTGGAGACGATTACTGTTAGGATCCATTTTGTGACACCCTTTTTCCTCGACTCAACTACCTCGACGTGACAGACGTTGGGGGAGTGGGATCGGAGGGTTGTCGATGTGAAGACAAAAAAGTTGACGATCCAAGGGGGAGGGGAAGGGCACGGGTCAATATTCAAAGGAGCGGTGGCTCAGGAGTAGTACGAGGAGCCCTTTTGGGGGAAGAGAGGGGGAGAAGCCGCACGTTGCTCCGTTCCTCCACGTTCAGGAGAAAAAGGACAAGAGATGATAGTATTATCTGAGTAAAGTCAAAGAATTCTTCAAACAAATATGTCTCTATTAAACGAGAAGAAGACTGAATATGAAGAAACAATGAGTGTCAGAGCCAAACAACCAAGAGGCTACTGTGTCTATCTAGTTTACCTGGTACACTCCAACTCTGCGCGATGTTTGGTTCGTTTTTGCGACTTTTGCGGAGTCCGGACTGTCGGGATACGGCAGCTGACAGAGACCAACTGTGCAAGACAGGGGCGGGTGTTGGCCTGGGGCAGTCAGGCACAAATCTAAGGACTGAAAGGGTTCCTGAGGCTCTTATACAATAAATAGTCCATATCTGCAACCTCGGATTTTGAACGATTTAACCACACTTCGATGCACATTAAGCTCGCCTTCGCAGATCAATAGGTACCTTGAACTACTAGGCCTTCAACCACTGACAATGAAAGGGCGTCGCTTTGACATCAAACAGTGGGACAAGACCTAGAAGCACGAACTAGAGGATGATCCAATAACGACAATATCGCTGAATTCGTCAAATACTTTAGATCAACTTTAGCATATCTATTATTGTATTGTCTGCAATCAACGTAGTCTGTTGTTTGGTACAGTCTTGATTATTTGTCTGGACAGTCACTGACTCTTGAACAATGCTCCAATATGCTTTCTATACCGCCCGGATAAACCTCGTCCCGTGCAGCTTGAAGGATCCCAAAGTTTTCTGGACTTATCTCGAGTCATGACCAGAAGCTACGCAGAGGATCTGCTCACTTTCTAAAGAAATTCCCTTTCTCGGGCTTGGCCCAATTCATGAAAATTGGAATTACTGACTCTCACACTTGCGCCCCATTACCTCCATCAACAGCTTGAGCCATGGCGGAGTCCTCCAGTTCCGCCGCTGCCTCGGGCCAGGCTCAAAATGCTTCGAAAGCTACGCCGAAGCCAGCCAATCCAGCATTCAGGATGCTAGGTAATTGCTGATCGGTCTCTTTCACTAATTTTAGCTGACATCAGTCGCTCTACAGGATTGCCCAACTTCCGTTTCAAGCTTCCATCTCGGAATTGGATGATCTTTTTCACCATCACCGGCTCACTTACGGCTGCCATCGTCTATGATCGTCGCGAAAGACGTCGTGTACAACAGAAGTGGTGTGACTTGGTCGCACACCTCTCCAAGGAGACCCTCCCCATCGAACAAACACGGCGGAAATTAACGGTATTTTTGTCCGCGCCGCCGGGCGACGGACTTCGCATTGCCCGTGAACATTTTAAGGAATATGTGAAGCCGATATTAGTCGCGGCAGCTCTAGACTACACAGTCATCGAAGGCAGAAGGGAGGGCGACGTGCGTGCAGCACTTGCGGAACGAATCCGCAAGCACCGAAGGAAGGCTGGTGAGCCAAGCTCGGTTGTCGAGGAAATCGGCAACGAAGACATCATCGCCGACGCGAGACAGAAGATCGGAGTCGTTGAAGAACCGGGTCCAAAGGGTGACCTAGTGATTGGGCGGCATACCTGGAAAGAATACATCCGGGGTCTTCACGAAGGTTGGCTTGGGCCCCTTGATCCTTCAAGTCCCCCAGCTGCACCTGTGGAAGGGCCGTCGGTACCTGTCGAAGGCTCAGAGACGCCTGCTGATGGCACGCCCGCTGAAGAAAACACTGAAAAGAAGGAGGAAGCGGAGAAAAAGGACGACAAACCCGCCAAGCCTAGTGGACCGACACCAGCATATATCTCTCCGGCCGAATATTCATCGCGGAGTCTTCCGCCCACCCTCCCACAGTCCTTGGAAAGCTCCGTCCCCATCCCTTTCCCACATTTGCTGGGTTTCTTGAATACACCAATCAGACTCTACCGTTACCTGAACCGACGCCATCTAGCCGATGAGATCGGACGGGAAGTCGCCGGCCTTGTCCTCGCCTCGTCCAGCAGACCATATCATGACAGTTCCTTCAGCTCCGACTCCGAACTGAGCGGTGCAAGTGTCGACGCCGGTGCTTCACCTTTCTCTTCACCCGATGACTTGATGCCTTCATCTTCCGCAAAGTACGAACAGCAAACCGTCCTCGAAAAAGAAGAGTCCGAATGGCACAAATCAGTGCACAAGCGAGACGAGGAAAACCCTGACAAGGAACGCGAGTGGATAGATGATATCGTCCTGGACCCACGCATTGCATCGCGGATGCAGCGCTCCCTTCTCTCCGCTGACGAAGAGGCGCGCTCACAACGCATTACTGAGGGCAAGGAATACATTCTCGGACAAGAAAGGCCCGCCCCTGTCTCCTTCTGGCAGCGGATGTGGATCAAGTATGGCTACGGGGAGGATGAAGAAACCATCAAGATGAAGCCCATCATTGGCAATCTTGATGGAGCGGATGGCGAATGAAGACGAGTCTTGTCATTGGAGGGATGAACCTCTCAACTTCTGAATGTACCATACTCTCCCACTTAGACTGTATATTAGTGCGACCTTGAAGGTCATATATATTGTAGGCTATCCTGACGAAGGTACATGACCATGTCGCTGACTTCTAGAGGAGGACGACATCATAGTAGAAATCAGCCCGCTACAGGTAATCCATTCAATATCTTAGGCGGCGTCCTGTTCCCCCAACGGACACCGCTCTGATGACATCTAATATCAGTGAGTTAGGCCAACAATCAATGGCGCAACATTTACAAGATTATCGATCTCTTTCGGACAAAGACGAAGGAAAAGCTCGTCAGGAAAATTAACGAAGCAAGCACCAAGCCAGTCGTATCTCATTTTTATATTCAAGCCCCACGAAAAGATAAGAAGTATAGTATCCTACTCATACATCAATCACATTGTATCTCTTCCGCTACACTGGACTAAATTCCTTGTCCCCTTGGGCCCTCAACCACAGGTCCATCGATTTCCAAGGCGATGAGATGGGGGTGAATCTGAAGCGAGGGATTGACTAACCCTTAGCCCCAGTTATCACCGCCGTGATATGTGGATGACGGGATGATTCCTCTTAACATTCGTGCGATGGCTCAGCTGAGCTGGAAAACTGTCGATTCAGGCCATTTGCTGGTGGCCTTCTCGGTGTACGCGGTCTTTGCGGCCTGATCACTTCCCCACTCGTACAGAATCTCGAGACCCGCTAGCGCAGTCTCGATGGAGGCATTGTTCAAGTCAAGCGTGGCGACCAGATCCTTTTCGCACTGCGCCTTGGAGTCAGGCTGCAGGATGTGGCGGCATCTGAGGCTGGCTTGTGTGCACAAAGGACTCTCCTTGTGGGTGGACAAGAAAGAGTCGTTCCACTCTCCGAGATTCTGCGATTTTGGCAGCAGCTTTTCGAATTCAGCATTGACAACCTCAGCGACCTCAGGGGCAAGAGGCTCAGAAAGACTGTCAAGGGCTTTGCGGAAGCGCAGTAGCTGAACATGGAGAGTCGGGTTGCTTGCGTCAATTTGGTGAGCGGCGGCAAGACATTTGAGCGCAAGTGCGTATTTTTCTTCAAACGCGTTAGCCAATTTTCAAAGGCATCCCAGGGATTGTACTTACTCTGTCTGAGATACACCTCGAATCCAAGACACTGCGCCTCGATATTCTTTGGGCTATGCTCTAACAAGGGCGTCAAGAACTTGGTCGCATCCTTGAGCGGGTCCTGCGTTTGGACAAGCTTGTTGCCCAGAGGGTCAGGGTCCTCTTTCTTCGTCTCTCCATCGGAGCCCTTCGCAGTAGCGGCGGCAGCTTTTCTTGCCTCACGCTTTTCGGCCTCGATCTTCTCCAGACGTTGCTGTTCCTTCTTGGCTTTCTTGAGGGCCTTCTTCCTCTCGGCGTCGTCTTGGTCGCCTGAGCCATTGAGTCCGCTAGGCAGTGGACCGTGAGCCAGATCCGGTTCGTCATGGAGTAGAATATATGCTTTGATGGCAGCGAGAGCCATTCTGGTGTAGAAGGGATGTTCGCGCAAACGATCCTCCCACCGTACCATATCAACGTACGCCCTAATCATGCCCTTGCGAAGAGAAAAGCTATGGAAGTCGAATTGATCTTCCTGCCAAACATCAAAGATGTTGTTCACTCCATGGAAGCGCTTCAGAGCGAGACCAAGTTTCTTCTGTCGTAGATATGACTCGCCATCCTCGGTAAGATACCAAACACACTGCATTTCGTGAAGATCGCCCAATGCCCCTCCAACGGTCTCATTCCTGGTGAATTTGCTCATATTGTCAAGTGCCTTTTCGTTGTCGTTATTCCGCAGTTGATACTTAGCCGCCTTCGAGTTGATATAGCGGTCCTTCTCATCCAGAAGTCGGGCCTTCTCCATCTCTTCGGCAGCCTTTTGAGGGTTGCCGTAGTGCTTCCATATCCTGGCTTTGGTCATCTGGTACTCGACGGCCTTGGGGGCTAGTTCGATGGCCTTGTCGACGCACTCCATGGCCTTCGATAAATTGCGACTCAGGTGGTAGTTGTAGTGCTGAGCAAGGAAGTAGTAAGTCGAAGCGAGGAACTCAGTGTTATCCTTAGCTGCCGCTCCTTCCGCGGAGCCGTTTGATTGTGCCGTCCCATTACCAGACACATAGCTTTCCACAAGCTCCTGTACCGTGTCGCGTTTGCTAGGGTTGGTGTACAGAGATTTGATGTTTGCAAAGAGTGATGGCACACCCTTCTTGAGCATGCGCTGCAGGTATGCATCCGCCGCTTGCTTAAACTCCTCGCCTTCCAAGAAGTCCAATGGAATTCTGCGAGGAGCGTCTCCTCGAGGGTTCTTGTCCGCCCAAGCGTCATAGAAAGCCTTTAGCGCCGCGTGATCGCTTTCTGAGATCCCTTTCGCCCTTATTAGACCGTCATAGTAGATGGAGTTCTCCGGGTTCCGCTCAAGAAGGGCAGTGTAGGCGGCCTCGGCTTCCGCCTTTCGGTCCAATCGCAAAAGGTAGTCTGCCTTCATTTCCATGACCGCGAGCACATCCGTTATTCTGTATCCAATAGTCTCAAGGTGTTCCAAGGCCTGTTCGACCTTGCCTGCTTCCGCCATGATCATGTTCTTGTACAAAACAGCCTCTGAGTGCTCCATGTCGGATACCGGCGGCGGTTGCTTGAGCGTCTCCTCGTACGTGGTCAAAACCTTCTCCGCCTCCTCAAGGTCACCTGCAAGATGGTGTGCAATCGCCAAAGCCGTCCAGTTCTGGCGGAAGCCCGGACGGGCTTGCAGCATCGCACTCCTGCTTTGGACGTAACCCTGGTAATCCCGCATTTGCATCTGGAGCAAAGCGAGGTCGCGCTGGATGGGCTGGGACTCCGGCTCGATCCTCAACGCGAATCTGTATGCCTTGATTGCCTCCTCATAGTTTTTCTCGGCTCGGTACAGCAGCCCATAGACGTGCCAGCAAATGTGCGACTTCATGTCATTCCGCAGGGCTTCCTTGGCCAACACAAATGCCTCCTCTTGTTGTCCGAGATTGCTCATGATCAGAGCCTTCATCGCCTGTGTATCGCCATGATTAGGGGTTTTTCGAAGAATCTGGTCGGCGAGCTTAATGCCTATACAAGACGGAATGGAGTCAGTCCACCTTTCTGGAAACTTTGAGTGACTCAATTCGGTCGCCAACCCACCCTTTTTATATTGCTTGTTCTCATAGTGGCGGACCACCTGTCGGAAGGAGGACGCATCCTTGGAGCTCAAAGGCTGCGGCATGGTGGCTGTTGTGCAAGGTTGGCGGAGTTGAAGGTGCCAAGTTACTTGTGCGTAGATAAAGCTGGTGGAAGTTGTGCGGGGAGTGGGCTCTTCGCTCCGGGAACAATGACGAGCACTTATATTATTCTTCTTAGCCTCTGAACAATATCAACGTTGACTCTACCGCAATCTATTTACTCGATTGAGGACAATGGTTGATTTTCTCTCCTCTGCTTAAATTATTGTAACACAATGGATGGCTTGCCTGTACAATCCTCCCTCTTCAGCTGCATTCGCGCTCAACCAACAAGGGCTGACCAGCGTCAGTCAGCATAAGTATCCGAGACGACGCTTGCGTGCATATGCCGGCCCAGGGAATCCTCTACAAATTAAGGTCCGTTCTCGTGCTACCGTACCTTTGTTCTCTTTGGGTATATGCCTGGCCTCATGGTTATTCGACAAGTTGAGATAGTCATAATGGCGCTGGGATAGCTTCTGTCTGGATACCAAACGCCTGAGATATGCAAGTATAATATACAGAAATATACATCAAGAGATATGACATCTCGAACCATATCAACATCTGCTGCGCCAGCAGAATAATAAATGGGGGAGTATCCGTCATGTTTTCGGCGTAAGGATACCGGTCTCTGTTGGTGCCGTTCACAACCCTCACCGTTGCTTCCTCTGGCGCCAATTGTTCAAAGCCTCCTCCCAGGTCGAAGCCGAATCACTGCACCTCTCAGTAACTACGCCCCAGGTTCGCGCTCGTATGATCTCTTCCACTGTTCGTTGGTTCCGAACCAAGTTCGCAAGCGACTCTGTCCTCAGCTCTTTCGGGAAATATCGAGCAGAGTAAGGATCCAATCTTTCATCGACAATCTTTTCCCGTTCCTTTGCCGACTCTTCCTGTCGAAGAATAAGATCCGGATCGTCGGGATCGGGACTGGTCGCCACCCCAGCGCAAAAGTTCAGTACATCAGATCGCGTTTGCCATGACTGGAAGAGGACATTGTCTTTGAAGTTCCGGCATGCTGCGGTATCTATCGGCCTTCCGGCTCTGGAGTCCGTTTGACGGATTGCAGTTGACGAGGGATCAAACCCCTCCCGGGCCGGGGTGACCAGGGCATTGAGATTCTGCGAAATGGAGTCATCGATGGTCGCCCTAGAAAGCCGCAGAAAATCTGCTCGATCCAGAAACGGCGATGTCAGTCATGTTACTCTGCTGTAGTTGTGCGCGATCTTGGGCTGTGCATCAAGTACCTAAGAGCACCCTCTCATTGAAGCAGAACTGAGGAGTCAATTGTGGGGTTGATGTTGATGATGCCCCAGACATTTCGCCAGCCCTAGACGGTGTAGGTCCACCGTCTTTTCGAGAAGTCGAAAGAGCCCAAAACCACTCCAGTTTGTAGAGCTAGACAAGAACTAGGGAAGTAAGCTGTAGGTTGACTTGTGCAGCGGCACAAGAGCGGGATATGGGAACGACGTTCAGCCCTCTGATCCAAAAAGCTCTCAAGCACACGAACACATCAGGATCTTCCAATCTGATAATGTGGCAGACTGAACACACGTAAGGATGAGACTGGATATTGAAGGTGGCTGCGGCAATCCAACGACTGATGCTCTTATCGATAGTGGCTAGTCCAAATTGAGTAGGGAGCTATGGATCACGGGACTTCGTGACATCGACGCGTCTCTATAACAACTTCGTGTTCAGATAAGCTGACGTTTGTCATCGTAAATATTATGAGACATTGAGTACTCCGTACATTATCTTTCATCTAAACTAATAATTCTGCATATACATCAATAGGTTTGCTCTTTAGAGGTACTTCAGCCGCCATGCCTGAATTAGCTGAAGTCTCGCGCATCGTTCACTTTATCGATCAACATCTTGTTGGGAAGACTCTCACGAAGGTTTCTGCTCAGAACGATGATATTGTCTACGGGAAAGTTGGGACCAGCGCCTCTGAATTTCAAAAGGCCATGGAAGGGAAAAAGGTTGTCAGCGCAGGTCAACAAGGAAAGTATTTTTGGCTCATCATGAACGAACCTCCTCATGCAGTGATGCATTTCGGAATGGCAGGCTGGCTCAAGATCCGAGACGCCGATACATACTACTACCGCGTCGAGAAACCCGAAGATAAAGAATGGCCACCGAAATATTGGAAGTTCCTGCTGGAAACAGACGGGGACCCGAAAACCGAGGCAGCTTTCGTTGACTTCCGCAGATTAAGTCGTATTCGACTTGTGGATTGTCCTGCAGAAGAGATCCGCAAACATAGCCCACTGAAAGATAATGGTCCGGACCCGGTGGCTGATAAAGACATCGTCACGGAAGAGTGGCTGGCAGACAAGCTCAAGAGCAGAAAGGTTCCCATCAAGGCCCTTCTCCTGGATCAGGCTAATATCAGTGGGATTGGTAATTGGATGGGGTAGGGCTACACGGCGATGTATGCTGCCGCTTTGATGAGCATAAAGAGCTGACAGCTGTTCAGTGACGAGATCTTATATCATGCCAAGATACACCCGGAGCAATATAGCAATACTCTCAACGATGAGCAGATCAAACAGCTTCACTCCTCCATCCATTATGTTTGTACCACGTCGGTAGATGTGCTCGCTGATTCCGAGAAATTTCCCGAGCATTGGCTGTTCAAGCATCGATGGGGGAAGGGAAAGAAGAACAAGCCATCGGTCCTGCCAAATGGCGAAAAGATTGTTTTTCTGACTGTCGGAGGTAGAACGAGCGCCGTTGTGCCGAGTGTTCAGAGAAAAACGGGCCCCGTTGCTAAAGATATTGGCGACGAGGATGCCAATAGCCCTAAGACCGAGACCAAACGAAAGCGGGTAACGGCTGTTAAAAAGGAGGAGGATGTGAATGACGATGAGAAGGAGCCCAAATCGAAGAAATATGGATCGCGGTCCAGGAAATCCGAGGATGCAGTGGAAATTAAGGAGGAACCGAAGCAGGAGGGAAGACGACGATCCACGCGCCTCAGAAAATGAAGACTTTCCTTTTACACGCAGAGGCATGAACTTATAGCGACGCAATTCATCCGTCTTCGTATACGTATCTTGAAACATACTAAACTTCAAATATGGCCACGAGAAACACAAAACGAACATATCCCTAGAATCTCATTACAACTTCACTCCATCGAGACATTCTCGAAAGATACTCAAATTCCCTGTTCTATGACCGGGATCCACAATGCCGAATACAATTGCTTCAAACCATCCTTTGAATTCCTTCTCCTTCATGACTTGCAACCAGCAATCCGCGACGTCATGCTTGGGATTCATGAACGCGCCACAACCCAAGGCGCCCAGAACGAGCCTCCGATGACCATGGGTCCCAGCAATGCGCAGGACAAGGCGCATCTTACCCTTGATCAAATCTCGATCCTCCGCATTCGCATACCGATATTTCTTGGAATCATCGATCACGACAGGCGGTGCCACCTCTGCTGCTATGCTGACAACACCGACTATGGGGAGCCACTCAGGTTTGCCCAAGTCCATCCAGCGATGTCGTCTTCGCGTGTCTTCCCGAAAAACAACGACGGTCGGTGAATAGATAGCACTAAGGCTACCGATGGGATAGAACTGCTTTTTGAGTGTGAAGCTGAGGCTACTGCGGAAACAGAGCTCCTCTTCTTGGGCCATTGCTCCATGTTCCCAACCGCCTCCGATATGATCCGCGTTCGCCATGTTCAAGACACAGACAGGCTCGGTGTCCTCATGATCGAGGAACTGGGCGGCGTTGGCAAGGTTGATCGCGGTGTTGAAGGTGTCTCCTTCCACAACTTTGACCAATGTGCGGACATTGGGGCAGTTCTTCTGATCCAACTGGGGCAATTTATCGAGCGAATATTTGTACCCATCGGGCGGAGCGCCAGGCGTCACCGTCAATATCGTCGGAATGATGCCCTTTGTTTCTTGAGCGACTCTTACCAGGCGCGCTCTCCTCGTTCTGCTGTCTTCCTCGCCTTCATCTGTTTTCTGTATCTTTGCGGGCCGTTGGGCTCCTTGCCGGACATTCGACTCATTTGCGCCGGAAGCTTCAGGCACATCCTTGACTTGTGCGCGCCGTTTCTGTGCTTTGACAGTTACTGGCTGCTTAGAGCTATCCGCTGGTGCACCGGTCATGATTGGTAGGAAATTTAGAGTATACACAGGGGAGTAGTCGGAAAGTTAGAAAACTAGATGTTATGGATTCTGACACTTTCTCCTAAGCTATATATGTCTATCACTCTCGCTGTCCTTGATCGAAACCCAAGCCTGTAGCCCGACAACAGAGCAAAGCAAACCGGCGTCTCCTGTTGGAGCCTGAGGTCACTAGACAAAGAAACGGCAGAACCGCCTGAACGAGGAGCATAACAAGGCGGAATCTTCTTTGAACACGCGGGCGGTGAGCTTATCAGCGCCGATTGCGGGGTGGAGCAGCAAATCAAGTCAGTCGCCACTTTCGGCGACCATGACAAAGCGCAAGATTGGCTTTACTAAACAGCCTACTTTTTCTATCAAAGAGACTTGGGTTTGTCGGCTTTCTTTATCTTCTGAAAGAGCGCTTCTCTGGTCAAGCTGTTCACCAGCCCCCCATAACTACTGTTTTCTTTGTCGTTATTTTCGTCGCATTGCATCTACAACAAAGAAGACAGGCTCGAAGAACCCTGCGAGATCCATACTTCTTGGGTGGCGGTCTTCTTCGTCCTTATCGCATAGCGGGGAGCTCGACCAAAAGCCCCTGCCACGATGAGTGCAATCCTTTCTGCAGACGATTTGAACGATTTCATCTCTCCCGGGGTTGCTTGCATCAAGCCCGTTGAGAGTCTACCACAAAAAGAATCCCAGTCGGAGGTACGTTTCCTATCTTACCAATCATCTGTTGTTATCAGCCAATAGGCTAACGCTCATTTCCAATTTGATAGAATCCCTATGAGGTGACAAAGGAAGACAAAGTTCAACCGGAAAACCTTCCCCCGGCTCAGATTTCATTGACCGATTGCCTTGCATGCTCCGGATGTGTCACATCTGCGGAAGCAGTGTTGATATCCTTGCAATCACATACGGAGGTTCTCAATACTCTTGATTTGTACCCTGAATTGCCGCTGGATTTTGCAAGCGATCAAAGAGGCACGCAAAATGTTGGATCAGCAGACAGCGATAGTCGCATCTTTGTTGCTAGCGTCAGTCCTCAAGTCAGGGCGAGCTTGGCAGCCACATACGGAATCACCGAGCGGGAGGCAAAATATATGATTGATCAATTTCTTATGGGCCCTCACGGTCTCAGAGCTGGTGGAAAACATGGCAATGGGTTTACATGGGTTGTGGACACGAACGTTATGCGTGAAGCAGTGTTGGCTCTGACAGCGGACGAGGTCACCAACTCTTTATTATCAACTGGATCGGGCAGCCTTCCCAAGAGTCCAATTCTTTCGTCCGCTTGCCCCGGCTGGATATGCTATGCTGAAAAAACACACCCTTTTATCCTTCCGCACTTATCTCGCCTCAAGTCTCCTCAGGCTTTGAGCGGCACATTTCTGAAGTCAGTGCTAAGCAAGGCGCTTGGGGTCTCGCCTTCTCAGATATGGCATTTAGCTATCATGCCATGCTTCGACAAGAAGCTGGAAGCCAGCCGGGAAGAGCTCACCGACATTGCATGGGCTTCAACCTCCGCCGAGTCACAGACAACACCCGTCCGCGACGTTGACTGTGTCATAACCACCCGTGAGCTACTAACCTTAGCTTCTGCTAGGGGGCTTTCTCTACCCAATTTGCCGCTCAAAGCATTGCCCGCGTCATGTTCCACGCCGTTTCCAGACCAGGCCTTAGACTCATTCTTGTTCTCTAAGAGCTCGTCAGACCAAACAGTCGAATCGGGGACATCTGGAGGCTATCTTCACCACGTCCTCAAAATCTTCCAAGCCAGAAACCCCGGCAGCAAGATTGTCACACAGCGTGGGCGCAACGCCGATGTTGTGGAATATGTGCTCATGTCGTCTGGGGATGAGCCTCTTTTGAAGGCGGCTCGGTATTATGGCTTCAGGAATATACAAAACCTCGTCAGAAAACTTAAACCCGCACGCGTGTCGAGGCTGCCAGGTGCCAAGCCGCAAGCGGTCACTTCAAGTGCGAATCGACGACAACCCATGTCAAGGAACGCAGCTCCGGCTGGAACAGGCGCTGATTATGCATATGTTGAAGTCATGGCTTGCCCTGGCGGCTGTACCAATGGTGGTGGGCAAATAAGGATTGAAGATGCCAGGGAGGCAGTTCCGAACGCACTAAAAGAGACATCGACTGAAACTCCTGTGGCTGCATCGAAACCCACGCCACATGAGCAGCGTGCCCGGCTAGCCCGGGTAGATGAAGCGTACTACTCTGCGGACTCGGATAGCGAGGGATCTGTCACGACTGAGCCGGTTTCTGTCCTGTCAAGGGATACCAAGATTCATGAGTTCTTGAAGTATTGGTCCGAGAAGATTGATATACCCCTTTCCCAGCTCGCGTACACGTCCTATCGCGAAGTGGAGAGCGACGTGGGTAAGACGCAGAATGCGCCCAACGAGACTGCTCGTGTTGTGGAATTGGCAGGAAAGATCGGAGGTGGTTGGTGATACGGCACTCGCTGTCTGGAAAACATTGCATATATCATTTATACCCTTCAATTTGTTGTGGATGAGAGCGCTTTTTGCATCACTGGTTGGTTGCATGCTACGCATTTGGAGAGATACCCTTCTATTATAGATTTCTCATTTGTTGGGCATTTGAGAGGATTTATCAGTCATGAGATTGCTATAGGAAGTTCCATAGACGTATAGATCAGGGTAAAGCATGCCGCCTTAGCTTTTCCACTACGGTCACGATCAAACTCTTGAATTTAATACTTCGATTGCGGACAATAAAAGCAATGGACGGAGTAAACATGTGGTAGAGCAGGTACCTGAGGCATAAACGTGCTAGTCCAGAATAGGCTAGCTCCTTCACCCCCCGAACCCTTCCATCGGGATGACAAAGCAGCCTAGAGCATTCGGCAGAAAAAGTGCTCTATCCCAAGTCTGAGCTGTCTCCAACTCGCCTTCAATCACCCACGCCCCAGTTTATACTCGAGCGATACCTTCGCCAGCGATATATTATTTGCCTAGGACGCAATCTCGAACAAACCACATCCGAACACCATGTCCCGCGAAGCTTATCAGGTCCCCTCTCTCGGCGCCCAGAATGCCTTTGGCACCGAGGGTATGGCCGCTGGCTCGATGGATGGGCCTGTCGTCGCGTATCTGTGCGGCGAATGCAATGCGCGCGTCTCCCTGAAGAGAGGCGATCAGATCCGCTGCAAGGATTGCGGTCACCGTGTGCTCTACAAGGAGAGAACGAAGAGGTGAGTCTTTTTACTTCTGCGCCAAGTGAACCTCTGTCCGTGTGCGGTTGCTAATTGCCCTTTTTGAGTAGAATGGTCCAGTTCGAGGCTCGTTAAAAGAATCCGCACGACGAAGTGTTTTCGAACAAAGATTTGCAGGGCCTCCGCCCGTCTCGTCCTTTTTACGACAGTGATGTGCATTTCGTGGCGCTTTGGAGTTGGTTATTTTAAAGTTGAGAACTGCGGGCATGCCTAATGTTCTGCAAAGGCAGCGCTGAGGACAACAGCAAGCAGATATGTTTGGCAACATCGCTATACTATGTTCACAAATATTTTCAGTCCGACCTGATTCAATGCTAAAATATACCCCGTTCTGACGGTGTTGAATTTCCGTCCCTCGGAATATGCTCTCCGAGTAATCCCCAGGTATTCCAAAATCTCGTAACCCAGTATGTACCTAACCTCTATCCAACATAAGCAGTCCCAGCGAGAATTAAAAGAAACAACCCCGAAATGGAAGGCATGAGACATCACACATAACCTTGCGTCATCAATAGAACAGTTTTGTTAAAGTCTGTTTGTGACTTCGATGAACTGTTCCAAGCATTTAAGTGCCGAACCGCTTTCGACGGCCCATCTTGCTCGTCGAACACCCTCCTTCCAGCGACCACCGCCCGGACCACGTTCGGTAATCACCTTGCCATCATCACCAGGGCCCATGTTACTGGTGTCGGCTTCACAAATGCCCGAAATCACCAGGAGGGCGGCAACATTAATCAAGACGAAAGTAAGGATGGGGTCATCCGGAGGTAGCTCGTTTCGCAAAATACTCATGATCTTGGCTGCGTTTTCTTTCGGCATCTTTCTACCGTAGACTGCGCTTAGAGGATGTGTAGGCAGACCGAAATCAGACGGGTGAAGCTGGAAGGTTTCTATCTTGACCAAAGTCCGGGGAACATTTTCATCCTCGTCGCAGGAACACTCCTCATCAGGGCCGTCGTAGTCGGGATTGGGGTATCCCGTAAGTTTCCAGCAGTTTGTTGGACCCGCGCAACTGATTTCGTCCAGGTCCTCCGCACCACAGACAACAAGGGCCTTCTTCACCCCACTGGAGCGCAAGGCTTCTGCGAAAACGGGCCCCAGGCTCTGATAAGCCACACCGACCACTCTCGCTTCCAGCGCCCAGTCGACCGGGTTTGCCAATGGGCCCATTAGATTGAAGATAGTTCGCAGGCCCAAGCCCCGACGCACTGGGTTGGCGTACATCATACCGGGGTGGAAATTGGGGGCGAATAGGAACGCGTAGCTCGTTGCTTCGTAGACTTGGGCAAGGTTCTCGGCAGTAACTGCGGAGATCTTCGGGGGAACTGGGGCGATCGCGTTCAGGACGTCGGCAGAGCCAGAAAATGAAGTTTGCGCGCGGTTACCGTGCTTGGCTATCATAAGGAGCGGCGAGGCGATAATAGAGGCAGTCGTCGAAATGTTGAATGTAGAATGTGAATCACCACCGGTCCCAACAATATCACACTGGAATCCAAGACAAATTTGTCGAATAAGCAAGGCAGTCAAGCTATCGGTTCCGATTTCAATTCACTCACCAGGCCGCCCCCATAGTTTCCTTCCTTCTTCCCACGAGCATTGATGGCATTTTCCAAAGAGCTCTTCTCGATCTGGCTAGCTGCCTCTCTCATGCGAAGCGAACATAATGCAATGACCTGCGCATCTCGATCTTTTGCAGTAGAATGCAAAAGGGTTAAAAGAGCGGCCGTCTGGATGGCCGATAGAC